AATGCGCAATTTGTTGGCATCGAAGTTTCGAGGAACTTTCACCAATTGCATTGCTCTCGACAGCATTTACTGATTGCTGATTGGTTCGTCAGTAAAATTTGATAAAAAATACATTTTTGATTTTATTATTTTTTTATAAAACTGGGAATTTTGCTGCATGATAGCAATGTTTTATAGAATTTACTTTTTCCGAAACGTTTTGTGACACAATTTTCAGAAAGCGTCACCATGTTCGAGAAGCTTTAGTCATCCAGTAGATCGGTCGTCTCAGAAGCATCTCTGCGCATTTTCAAATTCCCTAGCACTCGTCAATCGTGCGTCAAAACGAACATGTAAATATGGTCACGAGAATAAGACCCGGACCTCCAAGGTTGCGTCTTGAGTTGCTTTGAACACGAAACTACCGAGACGGACAATGAGAAAACAAAAGATTACAGTGCTCCGAACAGGTTCACAGAACATTTGTATTGCTCGTTATTTGATACCCAATAAATTGTCACCGTTGTCACCGTTTTGGTTTGGCAATTACGTCGGAAATATGTTTCGCATATGAAAATGTAATTGAGTTATTACTACCTGTGTTCCGATCCCCAAATTAGAGGTGAAATGGCAAACCCTTTGCAGAAGGCTCGAATCTCGCGTACAGAATGGATGTTTTTTTTTACCTTGTAATTATGTTACAAGAGGCAAATGCACACCAATCATTTCATACAATCGTGATTGATTTTATAATAGTCCACGAAATTCCATTGTCTTTGTTTTTAGTTTCCAACAATCAATGGAGATTAACTTATGAAAAACCTCTGATTTTTTGTCATCATTTCTTATATTCTTCTTTTAACATTATCTCTTCAACTATTCTGCTATAATGTATTCTACAAAACTGAGTCTGCTGTAGAAACTATTCACCATAGTTGTCTTCCTGACGTATTTCCTAATTAAAACTGCCTGTTTGCAAAAATATATTCTTTTATTTTTATGCGTGTTGATATTATGCTTACTAACATTATTTAGGCCATGAGATGCTATTACCTTATTTAGGCAAAGAGAGTGCAGAGGACGCTATGACATACTCCCAATATCAGCATTTCTCAGAGCTGTGATTGGGTTTTGTATTGCGAATGGGTCATTGGATTTGAAAACGAGAAAATCCAAATCTTCTCCGATGAAACGTTGCCAAAGCCGCGTTGGTTCTTAGAACGCTGTGTGAGAATGACGGCGCGTTTGAGAGACGTACCAGGGCTGACCGGCAGAAGCCAAGTTTTTCGACGCGGTCAACGCCCGCCCGTTTCGAAGTCTTTTCTGAACGGAATTAGCCGACTCACGTGGCGACGTGACATGTGATGTCGAAAATGCTTTGGGGAAAATACCACTTAATGTAATATTTCGTATTTTATTTTTCAATAACGTTGGGTGATAATTTGTCCATTTCAGAATTTCCTGAAAGGAATTGCTTAACATCTCATTTGAGTGTCTTTGCACTTGTTTCTTTGCCTTTCCGTTTCTTTCTCCTTTTCTTCTTCATATTGTTGATTTATCTAACTCTTCGCTGTTTTTATCTTTTTTTAAAGATTTATACTACCTTCCTATTCACTCTGAATATTTCGCACTAAGTACTGGATCAGTAATTTCAAAATAGAACTTCCTAAAGAATGCAGTTAATTTAATTCTTGTTTCAACAGTGTTATTTATTTTTTAAATTGTGATATAATTTTCATAAGCAGACAATATCCTACAATAAGGAATTCATTGCAGAAATTATAATCGCACCGTAGCTAGTATCCGCGCCTTTTCTATGAACACGACGACGCAAACTTTGCAACATGATTAGTAGTTTGTGACATTGCAATCACGTTCTTTAATGTGTATACTATATTTTCAACACATCTTACTATAATCCTTCGAATTACCCAAGGGAAAGGGGAAGAAATGAAGGGAGGTTGTAGCCTTGAAAGAGTTGGAGCTGCGACGTAGAAAAGCCGAGACTTTAAGTGGCAATGGCATAGTCACGCGTAGACAGCAATTCTCGTAAATTGCGTTCTTGACTATAGAACAATTTGCATCTTATAGCTGAAGACATGTTGAAATTATAAGAAGGTTGTAACAACCATAAAAAATTCCGTAACATTTGCAACAAAATACTGTAGATCAGGCATGTCAAGGTCGCGGGCACTTCGTTCAGAGAAATTGGCGCGAGATTTAAAAATGTAGGTTGTACAAATTTCTCTGGAGACGCGGTAGGTCACCGGAAAACTTGCGCACTACAGTCTTTTGGAGAAGATTCATTACAGGTATTATCACAAATTTAGCTATATTAATTAAAATTTTATCGTTAAAGCAAAGAAATTATCCATTAAAATGAAATAATACATAAGTCCGATTTCAAATTTTCTATTGACAGTAGGATTCAACTATTGAATTAAAATAATCTTGATTTTGTTAGGAGTGATTTAAAAGCATGGACTTTTTACGTTCAGGTTAGGTTTACAGAACAATATTCTTGTCTGTTAAAGGACTTTCCGTCCGTAAGCGAGAATTGTTAACGTATAGAGGCTTGTTAATGTATTTCACATGATTGCTAAATACAAGAAATAACTGAACGATTTAATAACATAACACAAATGAAAACAAATAAAGAATTCGCCATTCAAACATTGCTGTCACTTAGCAAAAATATAAATGGGAGAATTTACTACGAAAATAAATATGAAATAGTAATAAGTAGTGACCAATATCATGCAACTCTTGATTATTTGGTAGAAAAAAAATCTGGAAAATCTATCAATTTTTTTTTATGAAGCGACTATTCGCCGCCTTCTGCCGCTTCATCTTGCGCATGTACACTCCTTTCTGGATTTGAAGGGGAAATGAAGTTTTATGAAGCTCAGTGAAGATAAAGTTGCCCGTGCCCCTGGGAGCGCCGAGCTCCATAGGCGGTCAAGTAGCTCTGCGGGCGCGGTGAGACGTGCCTGTAGTAGATAAAACTGCTTTTAAGGCAGGGGTTCCCCACAGAGTCCATATTTTAAGGGGGGTCATAATGATCAAGGGTTCGTTTAGGGATCGAGAGCTGAGTGTACACCGGCAAACTGAGCGAACTGAAAACCCGTATAACCATTGATTACAAATAATATTAATGATGTTGATAATTATTTGTTTTCTAATATTTAATATTTCTTAATATGATGTTTCCATATAATATTAAATTACATATTTGGTTATGTTTTGAATTTTTCATCATTCTCATGAATGAAATAAATTTTAGAATCCGTGATTTTGCTTCTGAGAACTTGTTTATATTTGTAAAATTAAAAATGAAAATAATACAAAAAATAACTCCAATAATTCTTTTCAATTTTTTTGTTCTTGTTCTTCGTATAAATTATCTTTCAGTAATTTATGAGTCATTATTTGTGCTATGATTTTATAGTGTTCCTTAAATTATAGAGAAAACCGTACGGGGTCGATGAAGCACACTATTCCTTTAAAAGGAGTCAAAGAAATTCGGGAATCCATGTTCCCCAAGGAATAATGTTGCTATAGTAATGTTGCTGTGTGATTTATTAAAGATTTTAAGTAAGGCGAATTGATCTCAAACTTTTGGGGTGCGTTGTTACTTTACAGATTGTCATGTGCGTAAAGTCAAGAATCATACATAGCTAAAATACTACCTATCCTCTTTATTTCTTGATAAAATGTTCGGACTTATCGCATCGCGATTTTCAATATTGACTGCTATGATATATACATATAATCACTGTAAATTATAAACTATTATTGTATATACAAATACAATAAATATTATTACGTGTTTGAATTAGGCACAGTAATCTTTTGTTTTTTCAATGGAGGCAAGATTGCCTTTAAGTACTAATCTTTTTTTAATATCTTTATTATCTACTTAAATCTATGTTCAAGATTTACGAGCAATTTGATGTAGAAAATTACGATTGCATGTACGTGTACATGGAATACTACATTCTTCGTAATAGGGTACTCTCACTTATTGCTGATCCTTACAGTATACTACTTATCCGTATTTGGCATTTAAATTGACATTTAACTTCATTTAAATAATATATAACTTGTAATAATGTAGTATTCTCCAATGCTAAAGCACGAAATATTAAAAACTTATCAGAGATTATTGCAGTGCACGACATTGCTAGTCTGCAGTCACCAGTCTGTTCCAACTAAACCAAGATCTGGCTGGAAACCGCTGACTAGAGCGGCCATTGGCGATCAGCAGCACCTGGCGCGACAAAAGAAGCGCGCCTGGCGAAGCGGCGCATCGCGGAGCATCGCGCGGCATGTCGCGGTCGCGGTCCACTGACGGCGCGGGCGGCGGCGCGGGCGGCGGCGCGGGCGGCGGAGCGCTCCGACGAGCTGCTTTCGACTGGCCCTTCGGCCCGGCCCGGTGCCTGGCACCCGCCGCCGGTCTGGCGCCTGGCGCCTTCGCAGCCGATTTGCGGTGTTCCCCAAGGGCTCGTCTCTGAACCCATGAGACTGCAAAAGCGGGTGCGTTGGGTAATTCACGAGGCGGTCACGATTCTCGCTGAGGCAGGCAGTAATGCTGCTTCCCTCGCTGGAAAATTGGAGGGCAGAGTCGCCTAGGCAGGAAGGGAAAAATAAAAGTTAAGTTTTGTACCTAGCGCATTGAATTTTATAACATAAGCGATATATCATACAATACTGTAACAGAATGAACAACTATTACGACAATCGTAAGTCCCGATGCGATTTTGCTCGAAACGTCGTGATTAGATTCACCAGACGTTAGTTGTTACTTCAATGCCATTTCTGGATCTGTCTCTGCCCTTAACTCCCTTGAAGGCGAATCCTCGTTCCCACTAAGTGCTCCAGAAGTCTCTCGCTTCGGGGCGCGGCCTGCGTGAGGTCCGTCCGGCCAGCACGTGCGTCCATTCATGCGTCCAGCGGCGGAGCAGTTTCGTGGCGGCGCGTGTGTGCCCTCTTGCCGGCGACGCGTGACCGCCGAGGCACCTGAGGGCTCTGTAAGGGTCTCCGGAAGAGCCCTCAAAGGGCCGTTGTGCAAACAGGCGGCTGTTTGCGGACGGCGCGGCGCGGCGGCATGGCGGCGGGGTGGTGAGGCCTCTCGTCTTTTCGCCTCGCGCCGTCCGTGCCCGCTCGAGTGGGTCGAAGGAGCGGCGGGGAGGGATGGCGGTGGAAGTTCGCTGACTCGGCCGCTCCCGCGATGTCGTCGCCGCCTCTACCTCGTGGTCACGACCGGACGCCGCCATCTTGCTCTCTGCGGGCGGTTGTCCAGGAAACGACCAGGTTTTTGCTGTTCTTGTTCTTGCAGTTCTATATATGTAATGAAAAGAGAAATGATCGGCTCTAACGTATGTGATTACTAATGTCTTTTTAGCTATAATAGAACGCAATTTAGTTGCTGAAGGATGTATACGTCAGATTTGTTTGAAGTCTGTACAATTCAAATTAATTTTAGATTTCTGTTTGTGTTTCTTTCGTTCATTTGAACTCCAAACATGTCAGTCTTTATTTTGTTCAAAAAATTTTAATTTGATGAACTGGAAACGTTTTCCTAATTCACTATGAAATGCATATTATTGTATTACGTTTTTGTCAGTAAATGCAATACTTTCCTCATCAAGAGTTAAAGCAGTCATTTGTATTGAAACTTTGATAATATTTATTTAAAGGATATTGTTTAAAATTAGTTTGAAACTTAGACTTTCCGGAGACTTTAATGCTAGAGTAGAAAAGTAACCCCAATAAAGCAATAAATTATCAGAAGCTGTTGCCAATATTATATCGCTTACCTTAATACAATCAATGTAGTTACTATTGCATCCATTTATCTACTTAATAGAATGCTTTTCGTAGTCAAAAATACATTATGGACTTTACAGTAACTTTGCAGGCATCACACTGCCTAATATAACATCTTGCCCTCTGATTCACATGTTATTTAGACCTGGAGAGACCCATGATGACATATTCACTGTTTCTTCCTCCTCCCTGAAGGAGTTAAAGATAACCTTTCGGACTACCTGAGTAGTCGTCAAAAGTGTGAGGCGGGGACTTTCGTCAGCCAATCGACACATTCTTGCGCCGCCCTTCTCCGCCCGCGTTGCGTGGCCGAGGCTTGGCGGCGCCGATGCAGGGTATTTCAGGCGTGTCAGCGGCTCCGGCGTTGCACATGGCCGCGCGCGGGCGATGGCGCTGAGCCCCTCCTGCGCAGCCCTCCTGCGGCCTACGTTCTTGTGCGAGCGACGGACGTCGCCGGAAGAAGTATAACGGAGACTTCTTGGAAGCGAAAAAACCTCTAGCGAATAAAACGCGTTATAGATAAAAAGTGTGAATATTGTCAGAAATTGTCACCAATGGATGAAGATTAGTTCATGAGAAACAATTAAACATTAAAAATTCCGAGATGATTTGTTTTCTGTTCTGGCTTTCCTGCGTAGAACATTTCTTGAAGTATTTTCTGAGAAACATTTAGTGCTTCGAAGACTTTTTTGTTGTGAAAGGTTTTGGGAATTTTAGAATTCTAATTAATCAGCGACGCAACGTTGTTCTGATGCCAAATACGTGAGCAAATTAAATAGAAAAAATATATAAATCAGAAAGATAAAAAGAGAAAATAATATTAATAATACGTATTTACGACGGATAATAGATATAAATTCAAATCATGATTTACAGATGTGAACTTGTGTGAGTTGAAGATGTGATTCACTGATAACAGAGTAGAACTGAAAGCAACTAGTTATCAACATTTTCTGAAAGAGTCAAATTAAAAAATCCGGGTGATGTTACCTAGAACATCTTTCGACATCAATCATCAACATTCAAATGGCAAAGGAGTATAGTTTTGACAATAAGCTCAGCTAACTGTTGTTGAGTTAAACAGATTTTTGCCTGCAAGGTGGCGATGAGCAGATAATGATACGCCAGCAGTCGGCGATTCTTCTGCGCAGAACAAGCGATGCGGAACCGCTCCAAAGGAGACGATCCGGAACGGCTGGTAGGAAAGTCAAGCAAGGCCGATGGGGCAGGACGAGGCGATCGGGCGGCGACGGCTCGGCGGGGCGGAGCGGGGCGGAGCGGGGTGGAGCGGGGTGGAGCGGGGCAAGGCGGGGCAGGGTAGCAGCGAGCATACCGATTCCGGGCCGGGCCGGGCATGGGCGCCGAAGCGGCTAGTCGCGTCATGCCGCCTCGCGGGAGCGCGTTGTTGCCGGCGCTGGTGCTGCTGCTGTGGCTGCGGCGGCGGCGGCGTTGGGTGCCGTTACCGACGCCGGCGGCGCGGGTAACGGTGCGCCCGCGGAGGACGTCCGGACGCCGACGCCGACTCCGGAATTCTCGGCGAGAGTCGCTGACTTGCTTCGCTCGGCATTTTCTCCATGGCATTCGAATGTTGTGATGGTTTACGAATACTCCTATACTGCGATTTTTGCAACTCTGCCTCTGCCAGGTGTCACCTGTTGACAGTTTCATCCAGTCGAGAGCTTGAACGTCACCATAGGGACATCACTATGGTGACATTCAAGCTCCAGATTGGATGAAACCATTAACAACTGATACCTGCCTGGGGCAGAATTTCATAAATTACTGTATAGGTTGTCAGAAAAAGTGAAATGGTTTGTCTGTTTTTGTGTGGCAGAACGAGTGTTTGGGAAGCAGAGTTGGCAGAGTGAGGGTAATAATATAAATGGATGATAGGAGATGCTGCTTTTAGATAATTGCGCGTACGATATGTGGGTGTTTGCGAGAGAAAACAGTCCATAATGTCTCTTTTCTGTTGACTGCATTGTAATGCATTTTTTAACACTTTAAACGTGTGTGATGAATTTGAATTTTTAAACGGTAAATTGATTAAAATATCTTGCAAATATATTTATTTTTATGGAGTATCATGTCTATTTACTTTTTTGTGGAGGCAAAAGGTGGTTTATGAATATTAGGGTAGTTTGTTGAACCATGAGATGTGCATTTCACTACACGATTATGATGATTGATCTTTCCAATACCTTAGTGTTTGCTTTATGAATATGAATATTTGTTTAGACTACGTACATTCTACAGCCAATTTTCCCCAGTGTATAGTGTGTGGAAATATATGTATTTATTGATTGACACGCATCGTGTATAAAAATTTTTTGAGAAATGTGACATGTTTAAAAATTTTAGAGAAATTTCGTGTCAAAACTATTGATATAATATTTCAAAATCTGATCTTAATTCTTGGATTTTGTATCCATTAAGAAACCATAGCTCGGTGATATTCTTATTAAATAGTACAAACACTCATAATTGGCAGGTGTCACGGGAGCTATATCATTTCTTTTCTCACGTTAACAGCGTACTTTTCATGGCCTCTTTCTCAAGGAGAGTTGGTAGAGATATTTTCAGGAACCAACACTCTCCATTTCTTCTCTCGGATTTGCCATTAATATAAAAACTTCACACAGAAGACTGAATGTCTCACTTTCAAACTTTTTCTACCGACATTATTGACAAAAATATTTCAGAGAAGTATAATCCTGTGTTGATAACTATTCTTGAGGACATTTTCTTCTGAAAATATTTTATTAGTAATGCATATATGAGTGTATGTAAAGGATAACTTGCAACGACGGGCAGTGTTTAAAAAACAATTTAATGATACTTTTCACTTGCGCACTTACTGCATATTACACTCACCATAAATGGAAGATACGAGTGTACCTGCCATATACGTTCAGCTCTACGATGACACGCTCAACGAAGCGTAGAAGGAGCAGTAGAATGGCGCAGGCGCATGAATCGACAGCCCGCATTAGCGATTGCTCACGCGAAGGCTAAGAAGGGGATGGGGAAGCAGGTGGGGGGAGGGGGAGGGGCAGGGAGCAACGACCGTGCGTGGCGTGCGCACGCACATTCCGCGCTGGCACGGGCCCCTTCGCCGCCGGCGCTTCGCGGCCCCTCCGGCCAAACCACCAGCGCCTCCAATGACGCCTTTATTTTTCTCCTTTCCATTCCAATCCCCTCCAGCCTTCGTCACACTGTCATACCAGTAGGTTCTAGAATTTGGGTGCCATTAGCTAGTTACTAGGTCGAAGTCAGTCGCTGAAGTCGGTGAAGGAGAATTCTAGTGATGTACTGCTCTTGTCGGTAGATAGATGGGGTTTCCCATCAATATCACCCTTCCTTGTCCCTTGCTCTCTCCTTACACGATTCACTTGACAAGCCCTAGACTACCACGCACTTTGACGGAAGCTTACAAGCTGTGGCGCTACTCTGATGAAGAAGTCACCTGGAATGAGGAAAACCCTTCCAGCTAACGTGTATGTCGACACCAACCAACATGAGATGTTCACAATACATTTGTATTCACATTCTCATCCAAGCCCATCTCTATCTTTCATTGGTTTCTCCTCCTCCACTTTTCAACTTTCCCACATTCCTCAATATTGTGTTGGTATTTTTCGTCATCTTCACAAGCATCAGTGATATTATTTTAATTACACGAATATTCATGGCAAAGTATATCACGAATAGCTGTTGTTTTTCATCCTTGCCGTTTTTCCGCTTCTACGGGGTCGGCGCTATTGGGTGGACAACACACAAAACCATGTCAGAGGCGGGATTCGAACCCACGATCTTTCGGTCCGAGATCGTCACGGCACTACGGCCGTAGTGGTCTCGGCTACCCGCATCGGCGCCGAATTGCCTGTATTCACAGCGGTAATACCTCCCGTTCTGTGGCATTCGCCTTGCTCCAGTGGAACCGATACGCACATGGAGACTGACGGCTTGACATTCGAGCTAAGCTTCTCAAGCTCTGTGTAAGATGTGCATACTAATTATTTGTAAATGCCATTTCTCGTTTATGATTCTTTTATATTATTTATTTTTCTTCATACTCTTTTCTTTTTCTCACTATTTGTCTTTCCCCGTCATTTCCTAGAGTCTCTATAATTTTCTTCGCACCCAAATTTCTTCTTCTGACCACCCCTGTCATCCTTTAACCACTACTATTTCCGTCACTAATACCTGTCATTAGTTCTTCTTCTCTTTCGTAAGACTTCCTCTGAGTGCTTGAGGTTTTTTATGTTGGTGAATTCATTCAAGCGTTGCGCCTTATATACATATGATCCCTTTAGGACCTGTTTCAATAGACTTTTCCACCGAAAGATACGATAAGGAGAGACTAGTAACGGCTGATTATCACATGTTCTTTGGACCTTTTATTTCCTCGTTAAAACCATTCATATCTTCCACAGGTTCCATAAAATGTAGTTCTTTGTGGATAGAAATGAGGCTCGTATGTATGCTACATCTTTGTAATTGAATCATGAATTATTAGAAGATATCGATAATTAGCATTGCACAGTCTTGGTGTTATAATATTTGAATAGTAATTAAATATTACATACTCTGGATTTTCTTTTTGTATAGATTCCTAGATTCAGTATCATCATTTAAAATTAGGGTGATGGTGTTTAGTACGCATGTGGAATTCCCAGAGTATCATTTTATAGTAGTCGGTAGCGCAACTTTGTTTGCATACATTTAAGAGAGTTCGCTCCATGAACAGATGGGTTCAATTGGAACAAGCCAGATAATTATATCCATTTTGTTTAGTATATTATTTGTATGTGTGTTGAGTATCTTTCCATGAGAATTTTTTGTCTCGCCTTACGCTCCTTGCTATAGCAGAGTCTTTACCACTAAAGCCGAATTTCTCAACCACAATATTCAGTGAACATTCCATATTACCACGTACATTCTTTGAAGACCTCTGATGTTTAAGGAAACATATAAATTACAAAAATATTTTTAGGTTACCGTGACAGAAAGATAAGATGTTTGTAAGTATTTGCGATGGGCAACACGTTGAAATACGCCAGGCGAAAGAAGGTACAG